CGATTAGGAATAGATCTAGGTAGTCCCAAAATATATCGCTTACCAGGTGCTGGAAAGTTGCAGGGGCATTACAGAGCCCAAAGGCATCAGCAGATATTCAAAGTGCCCGAACCGGGTTCGGAAGCCCGCCTTCCATTCGTCACCTTCCCGGATTCTTACTAAGTTGTAAGCTCCCCTCAGGTCCAACTTGGAGAAAAAGCGTGCTCTCCTCGCAGCCTTTGGAATAGTTCAGGGATTAGTGGCAGGGGATAATGGTTCTTGAGTGTTATTTTGTTTAAATCTCGGTAGTCTACACAGGGTCTCAGGGTGTGGTCCTTTTTTTCAACAAAGAAGATACCGGCTCCTGCTGGTGATGTAGAGGACCGAATTAACCCTTTTTCTAAACTTTCATCTATGGGTCTCTAATTCAACTTCAGACAAGGTGTAAATCCTCCCAAACGGAATCTCAGCGCCAGGCAGGAGCTCAATTGGACAGTCATAAGAACGGTAAGGAGGAAGGGTGTTGGCACTCTTTTTATTGAACACATCCAAGTACTCATGATATGTCACCGGAATGAGTTTCATGGTCTCCGGCTCCGAGTGGATACTGAGGAGAGGGGTTGTCATTCTTGCCCCTTTTGGGGTACAATGGATCAGGCAATATTCAGAGGGGAAGGAGACCTCTCCAGACAACCAATTGATGGTTGGATTATGTGCTTTTAGCCAAGGCATGCCAAGAATAACTGGAAACATTAGAGAGGTAATGATGTCTAGGCGTAAGAATTCCTGGTGTCCAGACGGAGAGAGAAACAGAAGATTGGTATAGTTTCTTGTGTTACTGGGCCGGAACTGATACCAGACCCATCTGCCAAATGAACTGCAAGCCTTTGTGCCTTGGTGCGGAGCGGGATCAGATTCTGAGCAGCAAAATAAGCGCCCATGAAGCAGCTGCAAGCACCTGAGTCTATGATGACCGGGACCGTGATTGTCCTCTTGGCCAGTTGCAGTTGCAGAAAGGAGAGGTGCGTTCGGCTAGTTCCTGGAGGATGCATCATGTAGACACAGTTGGGAGAAGGTTTACGAGGTTTTATTGGACAGGTGGCCACGAAATCACCTGCATTGCCACAGTAAAGACAGAAACTGGATTTCTGTCTATGAAGGAGTTCTGCTGTGGAGAGAGGTGGTCTCCAAAAGCTCTTTCTAGTGGAATGAACGGGCCTTTCTGATGAAGCAGTACTCGTAGAGGGCCCAACTTCCGAGCATATCAGAATCCTCCCGTTAGTCCTTTTCTTCCTGTCTTTCCCGAATCCTACGGTCGATATGGATCGATAGGTCTATCAGACTCTCCAATCTGGTCGGTACCCCCACTCGGGCCAGCTCATCCTTTAGGATATCCGAAAGACCCAGACGGAACTGATAGCGGAGAGTCGACTCGTTCCACAGAGTATCCGAACTTCAGATGCGGAAATCAACAACATATTCTTCTTTTGGGCCTCTGCCCTTGCTGCAGCTTACTAAGCATAGATTCCGCGGTTTGCCGCCGGAAGGGGTCAGCATAGATCTGAGCCATTGCTGTGCAAAAGGATTCCACTGAGGTTAGGACTGGATCTTGTCGTTCACGGAGATGGTATGCCCAGGACTGGGGTTCATTTCTGAGAAGGATGATGATAAATCCCACCTTGATATTTCATGAAGAGAAGGTCCTGGGAAGCAACGAGAAGTACAACTCCAGGAATTCCGAAAGGTCCTGAACTTCAGGCGGTCTCCTGAAAAGAACTCAGGTGTAGGCACCCGGGGTTCCGGAGGGGCAGAATTTTCGAGGATCATACTAGCCTCTGTCTGAGTAGCTGTATCAGAGGTTGCCGTGAGGTCTGTGTCTGTGCGGGCATTAGAGTCGGCTAGCAATTTATTTTCCAGGTGTTCCAAGTCCTTCTGCAGACCGTGTATCACGTGGAACACGGTAGTGACTGATTGGCGAATGTCCCCCAGTCGTGAGGCCTCCCTTTCAGACTCCATCAATGGCTGACTGGTACTGTCACGTACCTGATGAGAGACTGAGTTGATGAGGTTGGCCTCACTTGTGTCCCTAGACCTGACCCAGCTGAGGTTGGAACAGGGGGAGTCTAGGGACCAGGGGGACAAGAGCTCCAGGAGTTGTTGCTTGTGGCTCTTGCAGATGATGGCCTTGGTAGACTGAGTATCCACTGATTTAGGGCACAATAGCAAAAGAGCAGGCAGGTACTGTGGATTGCTGGATGTGCAGCAGAGCAAGGTAGGTAGCCAAGAGCAGGACTGGAGCAGGGTCAGACAAGCCAAGGTCATAAACAGTCGGGTGGCGAAGTACCGAATCAGAAGAGAAAGCCAAGGTCAGGAGCAGAGCCGAAGTCAGGAACCAGGAGCAGGAGAGCAATCGGAGTCGGGGGTCAGGAACAAGCTGGGTCAGCAACAAAGGGAATGTCAGGAACTAGCAGGACACAGGGGGGGAGCTGAAAGACCAGTCATCACTGAATCAGCATGGAGGTGCTTTTTAAATAGCCCACCCAGTGCCGACAGGCGCGCCTGGGTCCTAGTGCCTGCCTGGCGTCGTCATCGGTGACAGGTGCGCCTGGGTCCTAGTGCCCGCCTGCCTGTATGCCTTGTTGGAATCCTGCGCATGCGCAGATTCATGCACTGCGGCGATCTTCTTGTTCCCTGATAACATATCACACACATTACACTTGTTCGGGGTTACCATCTATGGGTAATTAAAGAGTTAATTATGTGCCTGTGTCATTAGTACAGTGACAGTGTACAGTATTTGAACTGATCACTGTATTATTATCACTGTTGATGTCAGTATCAGTCAGTTAGTATACCTCCCAGTCAATGTCAGCTAGTGCCAGATTGACCGCCACACTACCACAGTCCCACTATAAGTCGCTGATCACCATCATTGTCAATATAGTGTCATAGCTGCATAAATTCCACTATATATATGATAGATTATAAACACTATAACTTTCACGCACACCAAATAATATGCACTTATTGGGATTATTTTTACCAAAGACATGTAGTAGAATACATCTTGGCCTAAATTTACATAGAAATTTGATTTATTTTTTAGGATATATTTTATAACAGAAAGTAGACAATATATATTTTTTTATAATTTTTTGGTATTTTTTCATTTAAATAATAAAAAATAAAACAGTGGTAATCAAATACCACCAAAAGACAGCTCTATTTGTGTAAAAAAAAAAAAGATTATATAAATGGCATTTGGGTACAATGTTGCTTGTGTGCACAATTGCCAGTTAAAGTAGCGCGGTGCTGAATAGCAAAAAAAATGCCCTAGTCATGAAGGGAGTAAAACCTTCCAGAGGTCAGGTGGTTAAGATGACTTGTAGCAAGAGGTCTAGTAGCATGGACTGCTGGACTGTAATAAGTACGTACATAATGCCACTGTATTGGAAAGGTGGATCTCTTAATACAAAGCACTCTGTTATTTACAAAAACACATAATTGTCTCTGCTCATTGTAGATGTAATCTAACACTACTTTGCCTTCAGTATCTTTGAGCTCTATGTCCATTTCTGATGTGATTAGTTCAGCTAGCTTAACAGCTAATACCGCAGCACAAAGTTTTAGGCTAAGTATAGTGTGCCTAGGATATGGAGCCAGTTTTGCTTTGTCCACAACAAAATCCTACATGGGATTGTGCTTTAACCACTTGCCTTCCTGAAGATTTACCCCCCTTCCTGACCAGGCCATTTTTTGCGTTAAGGTGCTGCGTTACTTTAACTGACAATTGCGCAGTCATGCAATGCTGCACCCAAATGAAATTTGCATCCTTTTTTCCTAAGAATTGAGCTTTCTTTTGGTGGTATTTTATCGCCTGTGTGGTTTTTATTTTTTGCACGATAAAAACAAAATACCGACAATTTTGAGAAAAAAAACAATATTTTTTACTTTTTGCTATTAAACATGTCCAGTAAAAACATTTAAAAAATCAAATTTCATTATAAATTGTGGCCAAAATGTATTCTGTCTTTTTACTAGTAATGGCAGCGATCATCAACTTATAGCAGGACTGCTGTGGGCATTCTGACACTGGGGGGCGAACTTGGTGTCACTGACATTCCCAGTGACACCAATACAGTGATCAGTGCTAAAAAAAAGTGTTTTACTGTAATCACATTGCTTTGCGTGGCTGTGCTATGCACAGCCTTGCAAAGCAAAGTGCATGAGCTTACAGGAACCCGTGCCACCCTGTAGCAGTATATCTGCTATAGGGCGGTCGGGGAGTGGTTACAGTTTCTAGGTAGGCGAAGGTGACTATTGCTTTGACAGAAGCAGGCTCAGAAAATATATAGAGTCTTTGGCTTTGTACTTCTATAGAGGGTATAGGAGCATATGCCTGTGAAACATGAAGATCAGATAAAGCTGTTAAAACATTTCTCCACTCTACCCAAGAATTCCTTTTTTCAGGGGGTAGTAAAGAATCCTAGTCTCGTTTCACTTGATAAGTACCTTGAATTGTGACAGGGAATGCAAAACCCAATACATCATGCAGGCTTTTAATTGTAGACAGGACATCTCTGCGTGTAAAAAGCTTTTCCTCTCTGTCTACCTGGAAGGTAAAAGAATCAGATCTGAAGTTCCATAGAAGACCGTTAGAATATTATTCTAAATTCATAATTCGGCACTTATAGGAATTATAATTTTTCGCTTCATAAGACGCACTTTTTCCCCCAAAAAAAATGGGGGGAAAATGTCTGGGTATCTTATGGAGCGAATATGGAGTGGCTGGCCCGGTATTCTCACAACCGCCGTGTTAGAATACTGGGCCTGCCGCTCGGCTGTACTGTGTAGAAGAACCCGCTCCTCCATCCTACCTGTTCCTCGGTCCAGCGGTGTCCTGCTTCCATCGGTCATCTTCTCTCCCCGGCGCCAGCATCTTCAGTGTGGGCACCCAGCTGTGACAGCTTGTGGCTTCACAGCCGGGTGCCTATTGTGTATGCGCGAGAAGCGCTGCGCTTTGTGAATGGTCCCGTAGTCTTGTGGGACCTGTCATGTGTCCCACAAGACTACAGGGAGGACAACTCCGCTGAAGTGGGAGCAGGTACCTGTCAAATTCGGGGTACCCACGCCCCCCCCCCCCCTCCCCAAAGGTCTGCAGTCTGTAGTCATCATCTCCTGTACCATGTCCGCAGTCACGGGTCATCATCTCCTGTACCATGTCCGCAGTCTCTGGTCATCTCCTGTACCATGTACGCAGTGTCTGGTCATCATCTCCTGTACCATGTCTGCAGTCTCTGGTCATCGTCTCCTGTACCATGTCCGCAGTCTCTGGTCATCATCTCCTGTACTATGTCCGCAGTCTCTGGTCATCTCCTGTAGTATGTCTGCGGTCTCTGGTCATCTCCTGTAGTATGTCTGCGGTCTCTGGTCATCTCCTGTAGTACGTCCACAGTCTCTGCTCATCTCCTGTAGTACGTCCACAGTCTCTGCTCATCTCCTGTAGTACGTCCACAGTCTCTGGTCATTTCCTGTAGTACGTCCGCACAGTCTCTATTCATCTCCTGTACCATGTCTGCAGTCTCTGGTCATCTCCTGTACTGTAAATGCAACAACTCCTCCTGAGCTCAGGGACCCAGATTCGTAGAGGACCGATGGACCTGTATTCTTGAAGAGTATGGAGATTCGTCCAGGACCGATCAAAGGCTGTGCAGCTCAAACAAAAAGCTGGGGAAGCTCAATGCAAACTGTAGTGAAGAACAAAAGACAAAGCGCACAAGCCCTGCGCATTACCTCAGTAAACAGTTACTGGATTTACTGATTTAGAGATATATACTCACAAACATAGTAGTAAAACAAGCATGTAAAGTCCAAAGTTGAACCACAGAAGGGGAGATTTTCAGAGTGACTCTGACGCGTTTTGAAGGGGGATCCCTTCTTCATCAGAGCTAGCCAGACTGAGACCCTCTCCTCTTTATATAGTCAGTATCAATGTGCAGGTCCTCCCAAAAAAGGGAGGGACCAGCACATCCCAAGAGGTGGGGCCAGCGTGTCACAGTAAAAATATAAATAAAAATAAAACTCAGTATATAGCATAGAGATACATATACATAAACCATCAAACAATTCTCTATGTACAGTTGTATTTGGATATAGTTACCATTGAAACATGCTAGAAAAGAGATGCTAAAAAAGAACACAGTTTTTTTCTCATATACTTCAATTCATTTCGCTGTGTATAAAAGTGTGGATGTACATAATTAAAATAAATAAATAAAGTATCGAGGGGTTAAGTCCAGACCATACTCACCCTCAAAGTTCGGATGAAATGACCTGAGTGGAATGTTATAATAATTTGGATTGGAAATACCTTAAAGATTTACAAGGCACGGGAACATATACATAGTGGTGTATATTAGTTTCTATTGGAGTCCATTAGGATCTTGCAAAAACAGCTCACAGTAATGATACTTTGGATCTGTCAGTACGTATCTGGGGAGTACTCTGACACAATGGCCCTGATTTACTAATGTGCCTAGGCTCATTTCCGTGGGCTAATGTCTACTCTTAGACGGCAAAGACATTTACTAAAGAAAGCATCAACAAGTAGACGCGAAATCGAATTTTCTAACCAGGCACAATTCAGGAATCAGTCTCAAAAAGCAGAATTTTAAAGTTTGGGACAATGAAGAAAAAAAAACAAAAACATTTTTTCTTTTCTTTTTTACATTTTAAAACCTTGTGAGAAAAAATTAGATCTGCAAAATACTCACCATGCCTCTTTTTAAATTCCTTGGGGTGTCTGCTTTCTAAAAAGGGGTAATTTGGGGGGTTTGGTGCTATCCTGCCATTTCAGGTCCTTCAAAACTGTGATAGGTAGCGAGGATGTGAAATGAGGAAGTTACGCACCTTCAGGCTTTCAAAGTGGTTATTGGATTTCAGGCTCCTGTATGTGGCTAGGCTCCCAAAAAGTCTCACACATGTGGTATCCCCATACTCGGTAGAAGTAGCAGAATGTATTTTAGGGTGTAATTCCACATATACCCATGGCTGGTGCAAGAAATATATCATTTAAATGACAACTTTGTGTACAAAAAAAAAAGTTTTTGTCATTTTCCAGAAACTTGTGGAAAAAAAATAAATCTTCCATGGACTCAATATGCCTCTCAGCAGATAGCTTAGGGTGTCCACTTTCCTACAGTCAGAAAGTAAAAGCTGTGTAAATTCCATTATCTATACCATAGTTTGTACATGCTATAACTTTCACACAAAGCAATCAATATACACTTATTTGGGATTTTTTTAACCAAAAACATGTAGCAGAATACATTTTGGCCTAAATTTATGACGAAATTTTAGTTTTTTGGAAATTTTTTATGACAGAAATGAGAAAACATCGTTTAAAAAAAAACCCAAAAAATTCTCAAAACTTTTTTTGTTTATAGCGCCAAAAATAAATAGCGCACAGGTGATCAAATACCACCAAAAGAAAGCTCTATTTGTGTGAAAAAAGGACATAAATTTAATTTACCTACTGTATTGAATGACCATGCAATTGTCAGTTAAATTAGTGCAGCGCTGTATAGCAAACAAATGGTGTAAATTGCAGTATCTATACCATAGTTTGTGGATGCTATAACTTTCACACAAAGCAATCAATATACACTTATTAGGATTTTATTTACCAAAAACATGTAGCAGAATACATTTTGGCCTAAATTTATAATTAACTTTGAGTTTACTATATATTTTTATAGCCGAAAGTTAAAAACATAATTTTTCTTAAAAAGTTTAGGTCTTTTTTTGTTTATAGCGCGAAAAATAAAAAGCGCACAGGTGATCAAATACCACCGAAAGAAAGCTCTATTTGTGTGAAAAAAGGACGTAAATTTCATTTGGGTACAGCTTTGCATGACAGCGCAATTATCAGTTGAAATAGTGCAGTGCCAAGCAGCAAAAAGAGGCCTGATCATTAAGGGGGGTTGTAACGGAAGCGTAGGCAGGACAGAGCACACGGAGAAGATGGGGAACACACAAAACTTTATTGAAACAACAAATTGACAGACACTCAATAGGGAAATGGCAGGGAGGGTGATGTGTGCGCAAACCAGGGACAATTCCAGGCACAGGGGGGGTCTTCAGGCAATCTCCCCCCTTTAGGCTTGGGGCCTCAGCCGGGCTCCCTCCGTGACCGGACAGCGGATTGGAGACTCGGGCAACAGGCGACAATCTACCCCTGGGCAGGGGCTCGGGCAACAGACGGCAACCTACCACTGGGCAGGGGCCTCGGGCAACAGAAGGCAATCTACCCCTCAACAGGGGCTCGGGCAACAGACGGCAACCTACCACTGGGCAGGGGCCTCGGGCAACAGACGGCAACCTACCACTGGGCAGGGGCCTCGGGCAACAGAAGGCAATCTACCCCTCAACAGGGGCTCGGGCAACAGACGGCAACCTACCACTGGGCAGGGGCCTCGGGCAACAGACAGCAACCTACCACTGGGCAGGGGCCTCAGGCAACAGGCGACAATCTACCCCTGGGCAGGGGCCTCAGGCAACAGGCGACAATCTACCCCTGGGCAGGGGCTCGGGCAACAGACAGCAACCTACCACTGGGCAGGGGCCTCGGGCAACAGACGGCAACCTACCACTGGGCAGGGGCCTCGGGCAACAGCCAGCAACCTACCACTGGGCAGGGGCTCGGGCAACAGACGGCAATCTACCCCTCAACAGGGGCTCGGGCAACAGACAGCAGCAACCTACCACTGGGCAGGGGCCTCGGGCAACAGACAGCAACCTACCACTGGACAGGGGCTCGGGCAACAGACGGCAATCTACCCCTCAACAGGGGCTCGGGCAACAGACAGCAACCTACCACTGGGCAGGGGCCTCGGGCAACAGACAGCAACCTACCACTGGGCAGGGGCCTCGGGGACTCAACGGGACTCTAGCTGTGGAGGCTGGCCACAGCACAGCTCCCACCCAGCTTTCTAGGGTCATTGGGTTCACGGGGACTCAACAGGTAGCGATGGCTCAAGCACTCAGGGGCACCACAGGTAGCTATACTCTGGGCATGCCATCAGGACACGGGTGGTCAGTGCACACACAGCGGGGCGGTTCGGAACACGGGTGGTCGGTGCACACAGCGGGGACAGTTCAGGACACGGGTGGTCAGTGCACACAGCAGGAACAGTTCAGGACACGGGTGGTCAGTGCACGCAACAGGAACAGTTCAGGACACAGGTGGTCAGTGCACACACAGGGGGGACAGTTCAGGACACGGGTGGTCAGTGTGCACAACAGGAACAGTTCAGGACACGGGTGGTCAGTGTGCACAACAGGAACAGTTCAGGACACGGGTGGTCAGTGCACGCAACAGGAACAGTTCAGGACACAGGTGGTCAGTGCACACAGCGGGGACAATTCAGGACACGGGTGGTCAGTGCGCACAACAGGAACAGTTCAGGACACAAGTGGTCAGTGCGCACAACAGGAACAGTTCAGGACACAGGTGGTCAGTGCGCACAACAGGAACAGTTCAGGGCACTCACGGTAAGCAGCTTGCAGACCCTCAGCGGCAGGCGGCTCCAGACAGGGATGACCAGCGGTCAGCGTTCCAGGGACAACCAGCGATCAGCAGACAGTAGCAGCTCCCAGGGCACTCAGCAGAAGACAGCCTCCAGGGACACGCAGCCACGGATAGTATGCAGGCCCCCTCAGCAACAACTCCCAGGGCACTCAGCAGCAGACAGGGTGCAAGGGTGCTCAGTAGACAGGCTTACAGACTGGCAGGGTCTCAGCTGTGGGGTCTGACCTTTGAGGAGAAGGCTCATGCAGAGCTGTGGAGACTCCCAACCCCGAGGTATTGCAGAGGGCTACAGTCCTGACCTTTTGGGGGTCTGCAGGGCGCGCAGGGGGGCCGGCTGGGGAGACTCGGTCCCCCTCACCCGAGCCTCCCAGCATCTTTCTGGGAGCAGGATGATTCTACTCACATGGCCAGGAACAAAAGGGAAGGCTGCTTCCTGTGTGGGTCTCTTGAAGATCATGTGGGACGCGGCTAGGTTGCCTCGGCAACGGCTGGCCCAGCCCTGTCCATGGAAGCCCCACAGACCTTCTAATGTATAAGGGGGAAGGGAGGGGTGGAGGAATATGGCGGGGGATGGGAGAGGCACTGGCAGTCCGTGACAACTCCTCCCCTTTCCATTTTACAAGTGCCGGCAAGGGGACCTCAACAGGTCTTCTTGGAGGCACTTGTGGGGTGCCATCGCTGTCCATCATCTTCTTCCACGCTCTGGTCCTCCACTGCTGCCACCAGTGTAACGGAAGCGTAGGCAGGACAGAGCACACGGAGAAGATGGGGAACACACAAAACTTTATTGAAACAACAAATTGACAGACACTCAATAGGGAAATGGCAGGGAAGGTGATGTGTGCGCAAACCAGGGACAATTCCAGGCACAGGGGGGGTCTTCAGGCAATCTCCCCCCTTTAGGCTTGGGGCCTCAGCCGGGCTCCCTCCGTGACTGGACAGCGGATTGGAGACTCGGGCAACAGGCGACAATCTACCCCTGGGCAGGGGCTCGGGCAACAGACGGCAACCTACC